ACCTCTAAGTGTGGCTGATAGGGATGTAAATGGGGAGGGGAGGAGGCGGGGTGGGGCGATGCGGGTTTAAGGCTATGTAGGGTGGGGCGGGGTAGTCTCTAAGTGAGTGCGGGGCGGGTCAAAGCCTTAATTTTTTTAAATTATGCGGGTGCGGGGAGCCTACCTTCTTATGTTATACTGCTTATTAAAATTATAATTTGTAGTATTACTTGCTTCCTTATTAACATAATATATATTAAAGAAAATCCTTTTAAGCCAAAAAAAAGTACAAAATTTAGAATCCTTTTTCCTTTCTATTTACGACATGATTTTTAGTGACAACCTCTTCTAGGTAATTATAGATCAAACACTCTTTCTTACTTTCATTAATTCATTACTATATTCTAGCTAATTATTACAATATCTTTTCTATTTTCTATTTTCATTTATATTTTTAGAACAAGAAAACAAAAAGGATGCATATGATATATAAGAAATATGAGAAGGATGATAGATATATGATGTTACTTTATGTATGTAGCAGTAATAACTTAAAGTAGGGCGGAGCAGAGCGGGTTTATGGGGGGCGGAGCGGGCAGGTTAAAAATAGAAAAAAATGAAATGCGGGCGGGGCGGGGCGGGTTGAGAATTCTGTGGGTTGGACTAAATGTGCCCCGCACCGCCCCATTGCCATCCCTAGTGGCTGATATGCAATTGTCTATTTACATTAGAGATCCTAAATTTTTTCCAACCTTTTCGAGGATTCCTTTATCATTAATCTCGGTTGGTAGCTACGGCAGCCTTGCCCAAATTGTAATGTGGATGATGGTTGAAGCTTTCGTTGCAAAATTGGGTTCCCATTGTTTGACAGATAGGAAATTTCCCAAGACAAACCAGGGTTCCCCAAGAAGTGCTTTGGCCATGTTGGCCTGATTGTTGAATTTAGCAATGTAGAACTCCCAACCTAGATCAATTACGGTGAGATTCTTTATGGGTTTCCATAGATCCGTCAGATTTCTAAGATAATGATGTGGGATTATTTCCCTATTAATATGACAATTAACAAGAACCTCTATGGTTGGTAGATTCGTTGCTTCTCTTCCTCTATAAGCGTTATAGAATCTTTGAGCTCCTCTGTTTCCATAACATCTTTGCCATTTTCTTCATAGTAAGCTTGGTTGAGGCCAACTTGTTTGTCCATTAAGATTTCCTTAAAGGATTGCTTTAAAGGTTGGTCCTCTTCCATACATGTTGAAGTATCTGGTGGTTTCGGTGGTTTCAAGGTTGTGAGTATAGTTAGTCCAGAGAAAATTTTCTTCTACTCATAAGTGAGTAATTTTTTCTACTATTTAGATTCAGATACACATATAAACTAACTACAATACACAATTATAGTTTGAAATAATTACAATTTGTAGCTATAAATAGGGTTTTATAGAAAATTTCCATGTTATCTCTTCCTCTCTCCTCCCACTGCCTCTCTCTCTCTCTCTCTCTCTCTATATATATA